AGCGGTCGTCACAGGGTTACACCTTCAGCCTTGGCTCTGGTTCTGTCTCGTGGCGGTCCACCCGCTCTTCCTCTGTTCTCGGCTCTAGTTGTGAGGCTGAGATCTACGCCACAGCCATGGCTGCACAGGAGTTACGCTGGCTCACCTACCTGCTGACTGACTTGGGAGAGTGGCCTAGTTCTCCTCCAGTTCTGTACGGTGACAACAAGGCGGCTCTTGCCTTGTGTCAGGAGCACAGACTGGAGCACAGGACGAAGCACATTGCTCTTCGCTACTTTCTTGCTCGAGAGCTTCAGCAGCGCGGTCAGCTTCGGCTTGTGTACGTGGACTCGAAGGCCAACACTGCTGATATCTTCACCAAGGCGCTCCCGCCTAGTGATCATCAGCGGCACTGTACTTCTTTAGGCCTTGTGTCCACGTTTCCTCACTTGCTCACTGCTTGACATTCTTTGTACTGTACTTTATATATATCTTGTTGCTTGCTTGCTAGGTTTTGATCACTGTGTTGCTTGTCTTGTACTATATCTAGCACTGCATGTGAACTGGCCTTGTGGCCTTTACTTGTGCTCGGAGTGTGGTGACGTTGTGATCCACCCTGGGCTTTGCTTTGCTTTGCTGGACTGGTCTTGTGACCCTTTGTTCTCCCCCACTTTGCCTATGGGGGTGTGTTAAACTGTATTATGCTTGTAGGCTGTAGTGGGGTAGCCAATATGGGGTACAACCCAAATTAGGGTTTCATATTTGTACCCAAACTTCTGCTAGTTCATTCATTCTTGCCAGTTACTTTGATAAACTTCATACATACTCAAAGTATTGCCGAGCGGGTTCTCAGGTGTAATCAACCTGGACTTTCTCAACGTTGATTGGTCGTCGCGTTTTAGTCACATTTCACACTGGTCGAACTCTTTAGGTAGTGACAAAAACAGAACCACTCATTTTACCCTCCCGAATTGGATATGTTAGTTTAAAGTACGGAAATTTAAGACAGGTCCGAAAAAAAAAAAACCCTCTAGGGAATGTGAACGCATTTTCAGGAGGGGTCAACCCTAAACACGGGAAAGGGCATTGTTTTTAGGGTTGATGCCTCCCGAGTCGCATCCCTTTCCGATTGGGTTTTAATTTTTTGTCCAGTGGGGTGCATTATATTATTCCAAAATACTGGGCGGATTCCCGATGTATTTAGGGTTGATCCGTCCCGAAAATCATACAGGTCCGCTACAGGTTATATAGATTTTATTCAAGTGCTATAATTGTTTTTGGGTTGCGTAGCAACCCTATATAATAGGTTTCACTTTTTGGGGATATCATTTCAAGAGTGTTTTTTTAAGCAATTTTGGGGGATCCCTGCTTCCTTTTTTGCACATTGTTCAAGAGAATGCCCCAAATAGTGAATAAAAATCACTCATGAAAGAGATATCCTAAAAGAGATACCAATTACGTATCATGTTGAAACCATGATTTTGTTCCGACCGTCCCAGCATCGTCGATTAATACGGCGGATGGTACGATCGAACATGGCATCAACATGAGCGAAAACATTTGTACAAATGAACACGGAATGAAGTAAGATACGGATGCTTCAAGAGATGTTAAACTGTATCAATGTAGCAACAGAGATTGATGGGGCCGTTGAAACAGCGAATACACGCTGCCCCAACGACGATGACAACCTCTAGTTGCATACACGATGCAATGCAACACCTTGCCTTGAAACACACACATCTCACAAACACGAAATGCACGTCACAAAAGTTGTGAAGACATCAAAATGGATGCTTAATATGCACCAATGCTGCAGCTGAGATTGATGGGGTCGTTGACACAGTGAAACACACTGCCCCAACGACGATCACAACCTCAACTGCAAGCACGATGCATACCAGCACCACACCTTGAAATAATCACAACCAACTGACACACACACAAGCACACATACCCACACACGTAAGATACACACACACACACACATATATACACACACACATGCACTGACAGACATATACACACACACATACATCCAATGAGGAGAGAGCAAACAAGCATGACAAAGAGTCAGACACTAACACACACGCACACACTGGCACACACACACACTTACAAGCACAGATACATACAAACATCGGTAATAAACACCAACCAAAGTTACCATTCATAAATCATCACTAGCCTATCACCTCTTTACCCTCCCTACACGCCTTCTTCCCTCCTTCCTTAATCTCCCTCCCACCCCCTCCCTTCTCCGCCAAACAAAAATTCAAGAATGCAGCTCACGCGCCCTGCACAAAGCAAAATCAGGGAATGCAAAGTACATGCCCTGCATAAGAAAAGGGCAAAAACAGAGAATGTTCACACACTGTGAACAAAAAAAACACTAAAACATTTTGTGTAACTTACGTGCCCTGCGAAGAGGCCAGGCAGGAAATGCAACTCACCTGTAGAAAGCAAAAACAAAGAGTACACCCCACAGCATTGCACATGAAAACAAAAACAGATAATGCAGCTCACACATGCACTAGAAACGAAATAAGAACAATAGAAAATGGTGTTGAAGAACGCATAGATCAATCAAAGACAGCAATTAAAATTTCACAACTCACAGTGCTACATTGCAATATGTCGTCGCACTACAGATACTACACCGGAATGATGCAATACCTTGCGGCCACCCTCGCGTTCAGCTTCATCCTCGCGCTCGCACTCACTCACACACGCACAAATACTCTCAACTTTCTTAGATACACTCACAGAAACAAACATATAAATCTACACGCTAATTCTTGCACAAACACTCGCACTTATGATCGTTCTCATTCACAATAACACTCACACAAAAAATTACACGCTTACGCAAACACACTCGCACGCACCCTTGCACTAACACTCGCACTTGCTCTCGCACTCACCCTAGCACACACAGTCGCACGCACTCTCATCCTCGCGCGAACACCCTCTCGTCCTCGCGCTCTCTCATGTGCTCTCTCACGCACTCTCTCACGCACTCTCTCACATGCACTCTCACGCGCACTCTTTCTCGCTCTCTCACACGCACTAACGCGCACTCTCACGTGCACCCTCACGTGCTCTCTCATGTTCTCTCTCACACGCACTCTCACGCGCATTCTCACACGCTCTCTCACGCTCTCTCATGCGCACTCTCACACGTACCCTCACATGCTCTCTAACGCGCACTCTCACAAGTCTCCCATGCGTCTCCCCACATGCACTCTCACGTGTCATAATATTATGCTCTAGCCTGTAGTGGGGTGCTCTGTAGCGAGTACAACCCTTCTAGGGTTTGCTATTTGTATCCCCATTCTTGCTAGTTCACTCCTCTCTTTTGCCTAATTCTCTCGACATGCTATCAGAGCAGGACGATCCTGTTGGGTCGATCCTGTGGGTGGGCCCACCACCAAATGCTTCCGCTGCGGTTATGCTTCTCGTGCGCCCCGAGGTGCGTCGTCTTCTTCCTGCCGTGCGCCCCGAAAATTTTTAGCGTTTCATCCCGCCGTGCGCCCCGAGGTGTGCGGCGGTTTTCTCCCCGCCGTGCGCCCCGAGGCGCGCGGCGGTTTCCTACCGTGGGGGACGCCCGCGGCCCCCCGATCCCGTCGCCCGCGGCCCCGCGATCCCGTCGCCCGCGGCCCCCCGATCCCGTCGCCCGCGGCCCCGTCACTCGACGCGTCGCCCCCGGGAGGCGTTGCGACGGGCGACGGGGACCCGCGCGTCGCCCCCCGTCGCCCGTCGTGGCCTGCGCGCGGCCCGTACAGCCGGCGTGCGGCCCGTACGGGCTGCGCCAGGCCTGCGCGCGGCCCGTACGGGCTGCGCCAGGCCCGCGCGTAGCCCGTACGGGAAGCGCCAGGCCCGCGCGCGGCTCGGGCCGCCTGCGCGCGGTTCGGGCGGCTATACCAGGCCCGTGGGCGGCCCGTTCCTCGCTGCTCCTGCCCTCTCCACTGTCCCCCGTGCTTCTACCGGCGCCCCACCCCTCCTACAGCCCGTTCTCCTGAATTAGGGTTTGGGGGTGAAGAGTGTGGGGGTGGCGGCTATGGGGGTGTCGGTTGTGAGTTCCTCCCCCTGCTCCCTCTGCTACAGCTGCCGCTGAGGGGGGTGGTGTGTGGGAGCCTAGGGTTTGGGGTTTAAGGGGGGTACCGTCGGAGTGGAGCTAGGGTTTGAAGCAGAGGGTGTGTGTCGAGGGGTGTGGGACAGTTGGAGGAGGTTGAGCGGAGGCCGCCGTCGTGTCGTCCGCAGCGCCTGTATTCCGGGGGTCGATTAGCCACCGGTAGCTCAGAGAGCCGGTTGCGCCGTCGCCTGTGGGTCCGTTGCTCCTGCCGCGCATATTAGCCGCGGAGCCTGTTACTCCTGTACTCCGGGGCACTCATTCCCGGTAGCCACGTTGTCGCACCAGAGCCGTCTGTTGCCCGTGTGTCTGCAGCTTCAGTCGTCGCCTCCTATCTACTCTCCTCTCGCCAGCCCTCCTCCTCCTCACTTGCCCCCTGTGACTGCCTCTAGCTTTGCTCATAATTGTGAACCTTAAACTATTGCTTCTTGCTTGTGCTCAGAATGTGTGGTGACATCGTGATCCACCCTGAGCTTGTACTGCTTTGTTTCCTCTGCTGATTACACCCCACTTTGGCTATGGGGGTGTGTCAGAATATTATGCTCTAGCCTGTAGTGGGGTGCTCTGTAGCGAGTACAACCCTTCTAGGGTTTGCTATTTGTATCCCCATTCTTGCTAGTTCACTCCTCTCTTTTGCCTAATTCTCTCGACATCACGCGCACTCTTGTGCGCTCTCGCACGCGCTTGCGCACGCGCTCTCTCACGCGCCCTCTCACGCACTCCCTCATGCACTCTCACACGCACTCTCACGCGCATTCTCACACGCTCTCTCTAACGCTCTCTCACGCGCTCTCTCACGCGCACTCTCACGCGCACTCTCACGCGCACTCTCACGCGCACCCTCACGTGCTCTTTAAGCGCACTCTCAGGAGTCTCCCACGCGTCTTCCATGCGTCTCCCACGCGTCTCCCACGCGTCTCTCACGTGCACTCTCACGTGCACTCTCATGTGCTCCCTCACGCGCTCTCTCACGCCCACTCTCATGCGCACACTCACACGCTCTCTCACGCGCTCTCGCACACGCTCTCTCCCACGCTCTCTCACACCCGCTCTCACACGCACTCTCATGTGCACTCTCACGCGCTCTCTCTCGCGCTCTCTCATGCGCACACTCATGCCCACACTCACGCGCTCTCTCACGCGCACCCGCACACGCACTCTCACACGCTCCCTCCCGCGCATTCTCACACGCTCTCTCACATGCTCTTTCATGCTCTGTAACGCGCACTCTCACGTGCACTCTCATGCGCTCTCTCACGCGCTTGCTCACGCGCTCTCTCACGCGCTCTCTCACGCGCTCTCTCACGTGCACACTCACGCGCTCTCTCATGCGCTCTCTCATGCGCTTGCGCACGCGCTCTCTCACGCGCTCTCTCACGCGCACTCTCACGCGCACTCTCACGCGCACTCTCACGCGCTCTCTCACGCGCTCTCTCACGCGCTCTCTCACGCGCTCTCTCACGCGCTCTCTCACGCGCACTCTCACGCGCACACTCATGCATTCTTTCACGCGCTCTCACATGCACTCTCTCACGCGCAATCTCACTCGCTCTCTCACTCGCACTCTCCTGCACGTTCGCTCCCGTGCACACGCTCTCCCTCGCGCTCCGTCTCTCCCCTTCTTCAAACGAAAGTGCAATGAAAGAGGAGACCTATGACACACACAATTTACGACATCCCAAATTTGGGATCGAGAGGGTTGGGTTCCCGGGGTGCGGGGTGTGCACTAGCAACCCAGGGACAGAGTGGACGCACTGTACACGCGCAGTAGCTACACTGTACTCTCCCCACCTCGCGCCAACCATGCGTGGCTTTCGTGCCAGGGTGTAGGCTCGTGACAAAGCACAACCACGGAAGTGCCTTCTTTGTGTCGACTCTGACCAATGAATATATCTGGGTCGCACGAACCTACCTTGTTTCCCGGTGGTCCAAGCCTACAAGCCATGTACAAAGCCTGGACTTCTACTTTGTCAAACACTGAACCTCAGGTTACAGACGGACGCGTAAAATTACTCACAAAGCTCCGTCCCAAAACCAATCTCTCAAAATCATCACAAACAATAACAAATACGCTTTAAATGCAACCAACCACCCCACGGATGAGAATCGGCCAATGAAAACCAATCGCGACAACTAGGAAAATTGGTGGCCGTCGATGCGAGATGAAGATTCCGTAACAAAGTGCGACGGAATAAAGAGTCATTCGTTTAGGCCTGACGTACAACTACAGCAACTAATAGCATAGAGATAAGCAATATACAACAGTGTTAAAAAAATTGGTGCCATTTCCAGAATAATGCACAAGGGACTTTTTGTTAATAAACAGACAGCCTCTACCGAATGTTTGCACAAGGTGCACCACAGTGAGTCAAATATGACACAGCTTATAAATTTCCTTGTCTGATATAGCTCGAATTGATGCCCGCTCATCCTTGATCATCTCATAAAGGACATAGGGCTACATGCATTCACCTATAGTTCTGGTGTTCCAGATACAACCATATCAGAAAAGATACTCGTTAAGGAACCAGGTGCCCTCTTTCACGAACGACGCAACAACGTGCACAACCCGCACCACATCCCGAATTGGGACCACGACATAACCGTGCACAGGGCTGCCGGGGGAGTGCTTAACATATGTGGACGCACCCAATGATGCATCCACCCCGGCCTTGATCAAGCGTTCCAGGAACACAAAGCCATCCTTCCGTGAAGCATCCTTCAGCAGATCCGAGAGTGGTACACGCGGCGCTGCAGTCTTCGGAGTGGAGCCCCTGGTGCCGCGGACCCGGACGGTGGAGCTGCTGCTGGTGCTGAGGACCCGGACGGTGGAGCTGCTGCTGGTGCTGGGGACCCGGACGGTGGAGCTGCTGCTGGTGCTGAGGACCCGGACGGTGGAGCTGCTGCTGGTGCTGAGGACGCGGACGGTGGAGCTGCTGCTGGTGCTGAGGCCCCGGGCGGTGGAGCTGCTGCTGGTGCTGCGGACCCGCACGGTGGAGCTGCTGCTGGTGCTGAGGCCCCGGGCGGTGGAGCTGCTGCTGGTGCTGCGGACCCGCACGGTGGAGCTGCTGCTGGTGCTGCGGACCCGGCCGGTGGAGCTGCTGCTGGTGCTGCGGACCCGGACGGTGGAGCTGCTGCTGGTGCTGAGGACCCGGACGGTGGAGCTGCTGCTGGTGCTGAGGCCCCGGGCGGTGGAGCTGCTGCTGGTGCTGCGGACCCGCACGGTGGAGCTACTGCTGGTGCTGAGGTCCCCGGTGCTGGTGTCCCTGCTGGCTCTGGAGACGCTACGAGGCCGCGACCGTACTTCGTCCCGCTCCTTCAGCAGGTTCTTGGTCTGGCTCCTCCTCCTTGTCCTCCTCCCTCCGTAGAGTGTCTGCAGCCTGTCCAGTCGTAGTCACAGTTACCGCCTACCTCGCCTCTCCCTGGTCCCTCTCCTTACACCGGTCCCACAGGAGGTCTTACCGAGCGTCGTGAGCCTGCGTCTCGTCCTGCGTCGCCTGTTCGTCCTGCGCGCACTAGTCGTCGTGGCACACGTGAGCGCCCTCCTCCTGTCCCTGGCACTCACTACATGACACTGCGTCGCTCCACTGCTCCTCAGCGTGTCCCTCTGCCGTCTCCTCCTGCGTCCTCTCTCCCTACTCTTCCTGACCCGGAGTCTGACTCCCGTCGTGCTGCCAGTCCCACAGTCACGCGTCTCCTCGCCACTGTTGTCACTGACCCTACCTTTGAGTCCTCTGCTGCGTCTGCTCTGGTCGCTGAGTTGGTTGACTTTGCTGCCGCGTGCCGTCTAGACTTCGCCGCTAGCCTTGTTGCTGAGTCTGAGTCTGTCTGTCCTCCGTCCGTCGGGGGTGAGTGTGCTCTAGGCACGGACGTCCTTGAGGACAGGCAGGAGGAGTTCCAGTGCTTTGCTGCTGCTTTGCCCCATCTTGTGTCCATGCTAGTTGCCCCTGAGGGAGACCCGGATGCACCAGACATCCCGACCCCGCGCTCTTACGCAGAGGCGGTGGCAGGTCCCTACTCCTCTCAGTGGCAGACAGCCATGGACGCAGAGATGGCTTCCTGGAAGTCCACAGGCACCTACGTCGACGAGGTTCCCCCACCTGGGGCGAACATCGTCAGTGGCATGTGGATTTTCAGGGTGAAGCGGCCGCCTGGTTCTCCTCCTGTCTTCAAGGCACGCTACGTTGCTCGAGGCTTCAGTCAGCGCGAGGGAGTAGACTTCTTCCAGACCTTCTCCCCCACCCCGAAGATGACTACTCTTCGGGTGCTGCTGCACATAGCCGCTCAGCGAGACTACGAGCTTCACTCTCTTGACTTCAGCACTGCTTTCTTGCAGGGCAGTCTGCACGAGGAGATCTGGCTGCGCCGCCCTCCTGGCTTCACTGGGTCGTTCCCTCCTGGTACCCAGTGGAGGCTCCAGCGGCCAGTCTACGGTCTCCGCCAGGCGCCACGTGAGTGGCACGACACACTGAGGACGACACTCGCGGCACTTGGGTTCGCTCCTTCTACTGCTGACCCGTCGCTGTTTCTACGCACTGACACCTCGCTGCCGCCGTTCTACATCCTCGTGTACGTCGACGACTTGGTCTTTGCCACTGCTGACACTCAGGCACTCGCCCACGTGAAGTCGGAGCTGCAGAAGCGACACACGTGCACAGACCTGGGTGAACTGACAAGCTACCTTGGCTTGCGGATCACTCGGGACAGAGCACGGCGCACCATCACCTTGACTCAGTCACACATGGTGCAGCAGGTCCTTCAGCGCTTCGGCTTCACGTACTCCTCGCCTCAGGCCACTCCTCTGCCTACAGGTCACTCGCTCTCAGCTCTGCCTTCGGATGAGTCCGTAGAGTCGAGTGGCCCGTATCCAGAGCTTGTTGGCTGCCTCATGTACCTGATGACCTGCACTCGACCTGACCTTGCATACCCTCTTAGCATCCTTGCACGCTATGTCGCTCCTGGCCGTCACAGGAAGGAGCACATGGATGCCGCTAAGAGGGTGTTGCGCTACTTGTGCAGTACGTCGGGCATGGGGCTAGTGCTTGGAGGGCGAGACCGAGTTGTGCTCACTGGACACTCAGACGCTTCTTGGGCGGACGACCAGGCTACTCAGCGGTCATCTCAGGGTTACACCTTCAGCCTTGGCTCTGGCTCAGTTTCTTGGCGTTCCACACGCTCTTCGTCTGTTCTCAGCTCCAGTTATGAGGCTGAGATCTACGCCACAGCCATGGCGGCCCAGGAGCTTCGCTGGCTGACCTACCTGCTGACCGACTTGGGAGAGAGGCCTCGTTCTCCTCCAGTGCTGTACATCGACAACAAGGCTGCCATTGCCTTGTGTGAGGAGCACAGACTGGAGCACCGAACGAAGCACATCGCCCTGCGGTACTTCCTGGCTAGAGAGCTACAGCAGCGTGGTCAGCTTTGTCTGCGTTACGTGGCCACTGAGGCCAACACTGCTGATGTGTTCACCAAGGCGCTCCAGCCTTGTGACCATCAGCGCTTTTGTACTCTTTTGGGCCTTGTGCCTACTGGACCTCACTTGCTCACTTCTTGACTTTGCTTGTACTGTGATCTCTATATATATATATACCTGCATGTTTACTCTTGCTAGGTTGTGATCACTGTATCTCTTGCTCTATTATAAACCTGCATGTGAACTGGTCTTGTGACCGCTTGCTTGTGCTCGGAATTTGTGTGGAATCCTTGAGATCCACCCTGAGCTTGTTTTGCCTTGCTCTGCCTTGACTGGTCTTGTGACCCCTAGTTCTCCCCCACTTTGCCTATTGGGGGTGTGTCAAACATTATATATGTTATGCTTGTGTAGGCTACAGTGGGTTAGCCTATACGGGGTACACAATTCTAGGGTTAGGTACTTGTACTGTTTTGCACTGTTAGTTCATCATTCCTGTTCGTTCTTTCCGACAGCAGAAACAAGCAGGCAGAAACAGGAAGAGACAAAAAGTAAAGCACAAACAAGAACAACGAGCAAGCAAGAACCAACAAGTTTGTCAACTGGCATAATAGAAAGTTTTTCTGCCCATGCAAACGAGGCATGGACATTCTTATATTTGAGTGATATGTTTGATAATGAGTACGATCGGCGGAATTAAGAGCCAAAACGGAACCTGGGCACTTTGCAAATCAAATACCAAGCTTAAACAAAACATGTGCACTTGACAAAAAATGGCAAACACGAAATTTGAAAGCTCTGTCATGTGAAACACACGCATAACCGCGTTATCCAACAAAAGACACATCGGATTGAGCTGGAAATAACTAACTCATTATATAGAAGTAGATTGTAAATGAAATAGATTAAGATCGATGTAAAAACCATTGTATAAACATTGTCTATTATAATCACAAAAAGAACATAAATGTCCAAATCATTTTCTGATTATACACACAACTGTTTCAAGAGGTAAAAATTGCACAAAATTACTATATTGTAGTTAGATAATATAATTCTCAAGCAATATATTAGTAACTCTGCCCCATTCTAAATACACAAGACGAACATTAAAAATTTGCTACCCATAAGTAAAAATTCCATCATTTTGTTTCTTTACGAAGAGTACAACTCTACGCAACCCTTCCGATGTTAACGTGTCAGAATGTAATGGTTGTCTAGCCTGCAGTGGGGTACTCTATAGCGAGTACAGCCCTTCTAGGGTTTGCTATATGTATCCCTATGCTCGTTAGTGAAAATCCTCTTTGCCTGTTTCTCGTTTTCGCCTAGCCTGTTTAACATGCTATCAGAGCAGGTCGACCCTCCTGGGTCGATCCTGTGGGTGGTCCCGCCCGTTAGCTTCCGCTGCTGTTCTGTGTGTCACGCGCCTCGTGGCTCGCGACGGATTTTTCTTCCCGCCACGCGCTCGGGGCGCGCGGCGGTTTTCTGCTCGCCGCGCTCCCCGAACGCGCGGCGGTTTTCTGCCCGCCGTGCGCCCCGAGGCGCGCGGCGGTTTTCTGCCCCGTCGACCGTGGCGTCGCCCCCAAGAGCCCGTCGTGTCGCCCCCAGGAGCCCGTCGCATCGCGCAAGCCCGTCGCGTCGCCTCCAGGAGCCCGTCGCGTCGCCCCGCAGGCCCGTCACGCCGCCCCCGGAAGCCCGTCGCGTCGCCTCCCCTTCCCGTCGCCCGTCGCGGAGCCCTGGGGGCCCGCGGGCCACCCTATCCCGTCGCCCGTCGCGGCGCCCTGGGGGCCCGCGCGTCCCCCCCCCCCCCCCCCCCCCCCCGCTGGTCGCCCGTCGCGGCGCCCTGGGGGCCCGCGCGTCGCGCCCCCTCCTGTCGCCCGTCGAGGCGCCCTGGGGGCCCGCGAGCCGCCCTACCCGGCGTCCGTAGCAGCTCCCCAGGGACCCGCGCCCCGCCCCCCTTCCGCTCGCACGCCGCCCCTACGCGCCGCCTGCGTTTAGGGTTTGGGGGTGGCGGGTATGGGGGTGCCGGGTGTGTGCGCCGTTCCCTCCTCCTCCTCCTCCGTCTCCCACTGCTGCAGCTACCGCTGAGGGGGGTGGGTGTGTGGGAGCCGAGGGAGTGGCGCTAGGGGGGTGTCGTGGGAGTGGAGCTAGGGGTGCAGCAAGGGGGTGTGTGAAAAGGGGGTGGGACAGCTTGGGGAAGTCGAGTAGAGGCCGTCGACTTGTCGTCCGCAGCGCCTGAAGTCCAGGGAGCCACGACCCCCTGTGGCCTGAGTAGTCCGGGGCTCTGCGCCCGGTAGCCACAGTGTGAGCTCCCCTGGGAGCACAGCGAGCCAGCTGCGACCCCCTGTCGCCGTGTAGTCCGGGTTTAGCCTGGTAGCGACAGTGCGGCGCACTCCTGCTGCCCGTGTGTCTGCAGCTTCAGCCGTCGCCTCTCATCTTCTTGCTCCCACAGTTTCTCCTCCTCCTCACTTGCCCTCTGTGATAGCCTCTAGCTTTGCTTGTATTTGTGAACCTACTGCTCTGCCTGCTTGTTGTGTTGATTGTACCCCACTTTGACTATGGGGGTGTGTCAGAATGTAATGGTTGTCTAGCCTCTTCTAGGGTTTGCTATATGTATCCCTATGCTCGTTAGTGAAAATCCTCTTTGCCTGTTTCTCGTTTTCGCCTAGCCTGTTTAACATAACGTCGAGTCTTGTTAGTGACTGTATACAGAAAATACCCAGAATACACTAGTACTATATCGCGAAAGTGTGTTTCTGTTGGTGATTACACCTGAGAACTCGCTCGGAAATACTTTGAGTATGTATGAAGTTGGCCGAAAAACAGCTGCGCAACTTAGCATACTGTGACGAATGAGCGAGGCTTGGCTGGCCAACATTAGCCGCACAAACAAGACGAAAGCCAGCTCGGCAAAAGTGTGAGTGGCTCGGAACGGAAGGCGAGCATCTGCTGCACAAACAAGACAATGGCGAGCTGCAGGCAACAACAAACTCAGCACATCTGCACCGCTCACAACCTCGCATACAACATTTCTGATGTGTGGAAACATAGATCAAGTAAATAATATAAAAGTGGCACACAAAAAAACATAACATTTACGCCTAGGGAACGGCCTCGCCTATGCAGCTAGGTCAGTATAGATGGGTATGAGATCAGTCGCAATCAATTTGTGTAGGTAAAAGAGCGTCAGAGCACGAGCTTGGTGTACAAGAGAGTCCCGGATGGTTTTGCTCATCAAGCATACCGGTACATATTTACAAGCCAAGTGTCCTCATTGCTCTTTGGCTTTACGAGGTGGATGGCTCTCATAATGCTGGAAGTTGCAATTACCTGGTAACTCTCACTACTCGTTGATGACTACAAAACCACCCACCAAATCATAGAGTTAAGAGTTTCAAGTCGCTCATAGTATCGAATATAGGCGTAATCCTGTGTTGTTCCTGCGACCCGTGCATGAAACAACAACAGCATCTTTGCAAACCACCAACAACTCTCCTGCGTTGAGTAAACACTCTGTTCCGTTGTACAAGCTAGTTACCTACATGGCCATTCGCTTCTCCAGCGAAGGATGTATCAATACCTATCCAAACTTGAAGCTGTCGAATGAGTAGAACAAGGTGAAGACGTAAGGGGAGTACCATGTTCAACAGCAAGCTGTTCAATACGAGGCATCTTGTCATGATGCACACGAGGTGCGCTGATTGAAGCAGATAGGGAATTTAGATACAAAGGAGAGATTTCACGCCGTGCACGCTTGGATGAGCCGGGCTCAGTTGACATTCCTGTCCGGCTTGGCTGTGACTTCTCGCCTCTGCATTTGGTCCTGCTTAGGTGCCCCTTAAGCGCTTGTAGCGAGTCGAAGCCAGCGTCGTCGCTTCGAGGACAGCTGCTACTCATCCTGAACTGCAACGCACAAGTACAGGACAAAGGGAGTGTGGGGAACACAGGAGAAGAAAAGGGAAGGTCATCGTGAGTGGGGAGATGAGGAGACGGAAGTAGGATTGAGGGAAGCGCAGATACCATGAAGAGCTGGCTGGAGGGAGGAAGGGAAGTGAGGGAGAGAGGAGAGGGCAGGAGAAGGGAGAGAGGAGAGGGCAGGAGAAGGGAGAGAGGAGAGGGCAGGAGAAGGGAGAGAGGAGAGGGCAGGAGAAGGGAGAGAGGAGAGGGCAGGAGAAGGGAGCGAAGGTCAGAGGGGATTGGGAGAAGGCTGGGGGAGGAGGGAGATGGTTAGAGGGTGAGAGGAGAGGGCTGGAGGCTGAGATTAGGTGAGATAGGGATAGATTAGTAAGCAGTTGGACAGAGGAAAGGTACAGAGTGACGGAGAAAGAGTGGGAGTGGACAGAGATACATGGCGGATTGAGTGTGAGGCAATGGACAGGGGGGAGGGTGAGGTAGAGGAAAAGGACAGGAAGACGGAGAGAACAGACTTGAGGAGGAGCGAGAGAAAGAGGATGCGGACACAGAGGGAGAGAGGGAGCGGACGGTGAGCGAGCTTGAGAACGGACGGCGAGAGGGGAGAGGGAGAACCCAAAGAAGCACTGAGGATGAAGAGCAACTCAGAAAGAGTGGGGAATGATGATACGCAACAGTGAGGAGAGGGCAGCATGAGAGAGGAGGGTGAATGGGCGTGGAGTGAGGGCCCGAGGAGGGAGAGAAGGTGTGAACGTGTGGGGAGAGGGAAGGAGGCGGTAATGAAGGTCAGAATGAGAGAAGAGAGCCCTGGATGAGCAAAAGCAAGGTCAGAGGACACACTAACCTCGTAGTGATCGCTGTTAGAGGATGACGGCGCCACCTTGACCGTCGTCGACAAGGCACCACCTAGATCAGAAACCTTCCGTAGTCTAGGGCACAGAGAAGAGAGAACAGAGAGAGAGAGAGAGAGGGAACGGAGAGAGAGAGAGGGAACGGAGAGAGAGAGAGAGAACGGAGAGAGAGAGAGGGAAGAGAGGAGAACGGAGAGAGAGAGAGGGAACGGAGAGAGAGAGAGGGAACGGAGAGAGAGAGAGAGGGAACGAGAGAGAGAGAGGGAACGGAGAGAGAGAGAGGGAACGGAGAGAGAGAGAGGGAACGAGAGAGAGAGAGAGGGAACGGAGAGAGAGAGAGGGAACGGAGAGAGAGAGAGGGAACGGAGAGAGAGAGGGAACGGAGAGAGAGGGAGAGGGAACGGAGAGAGAGAGGGAACGGAGAGCGAGGGAGAGGGAACGAGAGAGAGAGAGAGAGAGAGAGAGAGAGAGAGAGGGAGAGAGAGAGAGGAAGAAGAGCCCGGGATGGTAGTCATCGCCCTCCCTCCCGCCTCCCCCCTCGCTCCCCCCTCTCCCTCCCTCCCCTCTCTCTCACCCCTCTCGCGCCCGCCCTCTCAGCCCCCTGCCTGCTGACTCACCCTTGCTGCGTGTTGAGTCACCCTCCAACGCCTCCCGTCATACGCCCTCCGCAGATGCTGCTGCTTCTGCTGCGAGGGAGCGAGGGAGGGAGGGAGGGAGGGAGCGAGGGAGGGAGAGAGAGAGGGAGGGAGGGAGAGAGGTAGAGAGGGAGGGAGGGAGGGAGGGAGGGAGAAAGGGAGGGAGGGAGAAAGGGAGAGAGGGAGGAGAGGGAGAGAGGGAGGGAGGGAGGGAGGGAGGGAGGGAGGGAGGGAGGGAGGAGGGAGGGAGGGAGGGAGGGAGGGAGGGAGGGAGGGAGGGAGGAGGGAGGGGAGAGAGAGGGAGAGAGGGAGGGAGGGAGAGAGGGAGAGAGGGAGGGAGGAGAGGGAGGAGGCAGAGAGGGAGGGAGGGAGGGAGGGAGGGAGGGAGGGAGGGAGAGAGGGAGAGAGGGAGGGAGGGAGAGAGGGAGAGACGGAGGGAGAGGGAGAGACGGAGGGAGAGAGGGAGGGAGGGAGCTTGCATGAGCAACATATTGGGCCAAGGCGAAACGGTTGGGGAGAGAGAGAGAAAGAGACGGAAACAAACACATACCTTGGAAGACGTGTTTCCGTCACGGCCTATGGTGGTTTCCCGTCGCCGCTTCTGATCGGGTCGGTCGCCGCCACTGCCGGTGTCATTCGTGTGGAGGCAAGCAGGGGATCTGATGGCGTAGGGGATCTGGGGGGTGTCGCCGATGCCACCGCTGTAGCGAATGTCGCCGCCAATCCCGCGTTAGAACGCGTCGCCGGTGTCCCCGCAGATAGCGTTGTTGCAGAGCGCGTCGCCGGTGTCGCCGGTGCTTTGATGTCGCCGGTGCCTGCGATGTCGCCGGTGCCTGCGATGTCGCCGGTGCCTGCGATGTCGCCGGTGCCTGCGATGTCGCCGGTGCTTGCGCAGTCGCCGGTGCTTGCGCAGTCGCCGCGTGCGTATTCGCCGCGTATTGCGCAGTCGCCGCGTCTAGCGCTGTCGCCGCGACTCGGGATGGCGCAGCTTCCAGCGATGTCACTACGTGTTGTGATGTCCCTGTTCCTAAAACTCTCGCTGCATCTTCAATTGACGCCGCTCCACCCGATCTCGTAGTGCACTCTGCCATAGCGATGGTATGCTGTGATAACAAAGAGCTGCGAAGTGATCACCACGATGGTAGAATGACGGAGTAATTTACTAAGACTGACGGGAATGAGTTGTGAGATTCACAACTACAACTGGTACGAGGAGTGCCTTGGAATTCGATTCACCCGCACATCCTAGATCCTTAATGGCGCTCGGTTGAAATGGAATCGCATGAACAAAAAACATGCTCAGTAAAGGTGTAGTGCGGTGAAATCAATGATCTCGGTGAATCTCCGATCAGTGAATTCGACCAATCATTTACGAGATCGAAACGCGTTTCGAATCTGCGGTACAGCTAGCTCCAATTATCCACCATACAATAAATGACAGGTTGCAGAATGTAACAAGTAGTTGTCACTCAAGAAACAGAAAAAGAACCCTAAAATTTTTAAAAAGTACACATCACAAAAGTGACACGATCAGCAGTTTAGAGCCCCACAACTCATTTTTACTCCCGTTTCTTTGTACTATTAGCCTCTAGTACGTATCTAGATGAGGCTGTCCGGGTTTGACATAATTCGCAACTGATTTGGATAAGGAGACAAGTGTCAGTGCGCCGAACGGACCAAATCCGCTCAAGGATAAGCATCGGCAATACATGTGTAAATTGGAACGAGAATGGTTGCATTGAGCAGCATGAGGAGTACAAGTACCAAACCCTAGAATGTTGTACCCCATATGAGCTACCCCACTACAGCCTACACAGACTATAGTGCATAAGTTTGACACACCCCCATAGGCAAAGTGGGGGAGAACAAGGGGTCACAAGACCAGTCAAGCAAAGCAAGGCAAAGCAAGCTCAGGGTGGATCACAACGTCACCACACAGTCTGAGCACAAGTTCAAGGCCACAAGGCCAGTTCACATGCAAGGTTACATATATATAACGCTAAACAAGCAAGGGCAGGTATATATATGTAACAGTACAAGCAAGGTCAAGAAGTAAGCAAGTGAGGCAAGGTAGGCACGAGACCTAACAGAGTACAGAAGCGCTGATGATCACAAGGCGCGAGTGCCTTAGTGAAGATATCAGCAGTGTTGGCCTCAGAGGCCACGTAAGCAAGGCGCAGCTGACCACGCTGCTGCAGCTCACGAGCAAGAAAGTAGCGGAGAGCGATGTGCTTCGTTCTGTGCTCCAGTCTGTGCTCCCGACACAAGGCCAGCATGGCCTTGTTGTCTACGTACAGCACTGGAGGAGAACGAGGCGGCTCTCCCAGGTCGGTCAGCAGGTAGGTGAGCCAGCGTAACTCCTGTGCAGCCATGGCCCCTGCGTAGATCTCAGCCTCACAACTGGAGCCGAGAACAGAAGACGAGCGGGTAGACCGCCAAGAAACAGAGCCGGAGCCAAGGCTGAAGGTGTAACCCTGTGACGACCGCTGCGTAGCCTGGTCGTCAGCCCAAGAAGCGTCTGCGTGACCAGTGAGGACCACTGAACTATGCCCTCCAAGCACAAGCCCCATGCCCGACGTACTGCACAAGTAGCGCAACACCCTCTTCGCTGCAGCCATGTGCTCTGGTCTGTGTCTCCCAGGAGCAACAAAGCGTGCCAGAATGCTAAGAGGGTATGCAAGGTCAGGTCGAGTGCAGGTCATCAGGTACATGAGGCAGCCGACAAGCTCTGGGTACGGGCCACTCGACTCTACGGACTCATCCGAAGGCAGAGCTGAGAGCGAGTGGCGTGTAGGTAGAGGAGTGGCCTGAGGCGAGGAGTACGTGAAGCCGAAGCGCTGAAGGACCTGCTGCACCATGTGTGACTGAGTCAGGGTAATGGTGCGCTGTGCTCTGTCCCGGGTGATCTGCAAGCCAAGGTAGCTGCGCAGTTCACCCAGGTCTGTGCACGTGTGTCTCTTCTGCAGCTCGGACTTCACGTAGGCAAGTCCAGCAGTGTCAGCTGTAGCAAAGACCAAGTCGTCGACGTACACGAGGATGTAGAACGGCGGCAAAGAAGTGTCGGTGCGCAGAAACAGCGACGGGTCGGCAGTAGAAGGAGCAAACCCAAGGGCCGCAAGTGTAGTCCTCAGTGTGTCGTGCCACTCACGAGGCGCTTGGCGGAGACCGTAGACTGGCCGCCGGAGGCTCCACTGGGTGCCAGGAGGAAACGTCCCAGTGAAGCCAGGTGGGCGGCGCAACCAGATCTCCTCGTGCAGGCTGCCCTGCAAGAAAGCAGTGCTGAAGTTAAGAGAGTGAAGCCCGTAGTCTCGGTGAGCAGCTAGGTGCAGTAGTACCCGAAGAGTGGTCATCTTCGGGGTGGGGGAGAAGGTCTGAAAGTAGTCAACTCCCTGCCGCTGACTGAAGCCACGAGCCACGTAACGCGCCTTGAAGACAGGCGGAGAACCCGGCGGCCGCTTCACCCTGAAAATCCACATGCCACTGACGATGTTCGCCCCAGGCGGGGGAACCTCGTCAACGTAGGTGCCTGTGGACTTCCAGGAAGCCATCTCTGCATCCATGACTGCATGCCACTGAGAGGAGTAGGGACCCTCTATCGCCTCCGCGTAAGAGCGCGGAGTCGGGATGTCAAGTGCATCCGGGTCTCCCTCAGGGGCAAGCAGCATGGACACGAGATGAGGTGAAGCAGCAGCCAAGCACTGGAACTCCTCCTGCCTGTCCTCAAGGACGTCCGTGCCAAGAGCACACTCACCCCCGACGGACGGAGGACAGACAGACTCAGACTCAGCGACGAGACTGGCAGCGTAGTCTAGGCGACAGCGAGCAGCGAAGTCGACAAGCTCAGCAACGAGGGCAGACGCAGCAGTAGACTCAAAGGAAGGGTCAGTGACGACAGTAGCAAGGAGACGCGTGACAGTAGGACGCGCAGCACGAAGGGAGTCCGACTCCGGGTCAGGAAGGTCAGGAAGAGAGGACGCTGGAGGAGAAGGCAAAGGGGCACGCAGCGGAGCAGTGGAAGGACGCAGAGACATCCGGTGCGTGCCGGGGACAGGGGGAGGACGCTGACGTGAACCACGACCACTAGTGCGAGCAGCGCGGACAGGCGACGCAGGGCGAGACGCAGGCTCACGACGCTCAGCAAGACCTCCAGTAGGACCAGTGTAGGGAGAAGGAGAAGGAAGCGGGGAAGGTGGCTGTAACTGTGACTCAGACTGGACAGGAGGCGGACACTCTAAGGCAGGAGCAGGACCAAGAGAGGACGGAAGACCAAGAACCTGCTCAAGGAGCGGAACGAAGTACGGCCGTGGCCGCGCAGCTCCACCAGTGCCAGCAGGAACAGCACCAGCGCCCCCAGCGGGAGCACCAGCACCAGGAGGACCCGCAGCTCCAGCAGCTCCAACTCCAGCACCCTCAGCAGCACCAGCGCCAGGAGCACCCCCAGCGCCAACACCCCCAGTAGCTCCAGCTCCAGCCGGACCACCCGAAGACGCAGCAGCTCCAGCTCCAGGAGCTCCAGCAGCACCAACGCCAGCAGCACCAGCAGCACCAGCAGCACCAGTAGCTCCAGCTCCAGGAGCACCAGCAGCACCAACGCCAGCAGCACCAGCAGCACCACCAGCTCCAGCAGGAGGAGCACTCGTAGGGCCAGCAGCTCCAGTACACTCGGTACGAGCACCTCTGGGACCCTCGGCACCAGCACTCTCAGCAGCAGTAGAACCCCCAGCTCCTGCAGCACCACCAGCTCCAGCAGCACGTCGCCAGCGCCGGGCGAACCACTCACGCAGCTCCTGTGGAGAGAGCAGCTCCCGCCGGGACGAAGCACCCGAAGAACTGTCAGGCTCAGCACCACCAGACGCCGGACGAGCAGGTCCAGCACCCTCAGGCTCCGCACTCCGAGACCCAGCACCCCCAGGCTCAGCACCCCCAGGCGCAGCACCCCCAGGCTCAGCACCCCGAGTCGCAGCACCCCCAGGCCCAGCACCCCCAGGCTCAGCACCCCCAGACCCAGCACCCCCAGGCTCAGCACCACCAGCAGCACCAGAGTCAACAGCTACCTCGACTGGCTCAACTGCATCTACCTGGGACACACCTGAGGGAGCAGGACCCTGAGGGGGGAGGGGGTCTACCGGAGGGGGGCCTGGTGTAAGGAAGAGCGGCGGGGGAGGGAGGGACGCAGTGCGGTAGGGGAAGAGACGGTAGTAGGGAACCGACTCGTCAAAGGTGACGTCCTGGGACGCGAAGACACGGCGCGAGGTGGGGTGGTAGAACTGCCAGCCTGGCGCGTCAGGGGGAAAGCCAAGGAAGACGCAGGGAACAGCACGAGAGGACAGCTTGTCCGCAGACAAGTCGCGGACAAACGCCCTAGATCCCCAGACCCGGAAACGCGACGCATCACCAACCTTCCCCGTCCACAGCAAAGCAGGGGAGGTCTCCGGCATGGAGACCCGGGGGTGAAGGTTGAGCTGATGCGCCGCGTACCGAACCGCAAACGGCCACAGAAAATGGGGAGCAGCCGCATGGATCATGGACGTACGAGCGACGTCCATGACCATGCCGATGCGGCGCTCAGCAATCCCATTCTGCTGCGGAGAGTCCGGAAGCGTGAAGGTCTGGCGGATGCCTCGTGCGCGACAGAAGGTCCGCAGAAGGTCAGAGGAGAACTCTCCGCCTCGGTCGGAGTGCAGACGCCGAACAGGAAAGTCGGAGCCGAAACTCTCCTGGAGCTGGAGACGAGCCGCGCGGATCCAGGCGATCAACACCTCAGTGACGTCACCCTTGCTGCGCAAGGGGAAGACTGCGGTGTAACGCGAGTAGTCGTCAACCACCAGCAGGAAGTAGCGCTCCTGACCCTGCCCACGGACGCGGGCGGGGCCCCACACGTCCATGTGAAGCGTCTGCAGCGGAGCCTCTGTCGGAGGAAACTCGGAGGAGTGAGGAGCAGCGCGCTGCCGCCCCTCGACGCAGGGAACGCAGGTGGGGGCAGGCCCCGGAGGAAGAGGAGGGAGGGACCGGGGGAGACCAGAAACAAGAAGACGGGAAGCCATGCCTCGAAGGCGAGGCAGGGAGGGGTGACCAAGACGGTGGTGCCAGA